TCCCGTCGACATCGGCACACTTGCCGTTTCGCAGCTGAGCAAGTGCTCTCTGCGTCTCATGCAGTGTCGACGTGTCCGCCAAACTCACCTTCACATCGTGCTGCTTCAGGCCGTTCAAATTAGGCCAGTCAATCTCTGAATGGTTTTTCAAAAGGCAGCAAAAGTGATTTCACCTGAGCCGCATTATGTCTGCAGTCTGTGTGCAGATTGCGCCTGAGCTACCGGCGATTAGCGTCCTCAGCAGCTCCAACCTCGATCCAGACAATGTCTTCAAAGAGTCGAAGAATTCCTTGTGTTGGCGGCGTTCGGCGTAGCATTCCATCTGCTTCGCCCTCTCCGTCAATCATTTATTTTTAATGCGACAAAGATCTCGAGTCAGTCGTTGTCCAATTCTGCGAAAATGACTATTCTTCCCCAAGTCACTGGGGTCTGCCACATGTGCAGCAAATGCTGCATTCTTCCCCGACACCAATGCGCCAATCGTCGCATTGTTCTCATCAAACCAATCAGACCGCTTGCATTCTGCGCGCCCGATGGTCTTCTCGGCAGCAGCTGTCACCTGGTCTCGAATGTGCTGCCACAGGTCGCCCACTGGATATGCATTCCACATCACACGGACGTGCAACCGTCGTCTTATCCAGCTCAATAGGTTTCTCCTTAGTATCGAAGGGGAGGATGTTAAAGTTACGCCTCCGATTCACGGCGAGAGTGTAATACATAGATTTACGAAAAGATATGTACAGTTTGGTCCGCACCAATTTGTGAGCAGTGCCACACTCAGCTCCACGCAGTGCACGTGTCATACGCACTTCACGCATATCACGCTGACGTACGATGACATAGTCGAGCAGGTGAGCGGGACCACTCCGTGGGTGCGTCCAAGTTGCTATATCATTCCCACTCAGTGCGAAGCGAGTGTTCGCGATCGTCAGGCCGTGAGTGGCACACAGTGAGAGTTGCCTGTCACTATGTGAATTCGCTGAACCAATGCCATGCGGACCGGTGACTTCTGTCAACACCGATGCATCACGCCCAACACGCGCGTTGAAGTCATTTAGCAGAGATAGTCGGTCGCTCCTGGGCACAGACGGTGTCACGGAGGATAGCTTACTATAGAATAGATCAAGTGTCTTCAGGATAACGCATGGTTGGACCGTACGTGCTTTTACAAGTGGCAAACTTACCTCTTCTGAGTCCTAGGCGAACAGACATCATTCGCGTGCTGTTGCCAGCTGGTTCACCCAGCAGCTGGTCATTTAGGCGATCGGATATTGCAAATCCGACCCCATGTTCACATGGTGCTGAGGTGGCGTTTCCCAGCCAGTAGACTGTATAGCCGGCGTCAGCTTCATGCAACTTGCTTTGCTTAGCGAGCTGGGTCTCGCTGAGAGTCGTAACAATTATTCTGTAACGCGCCAGTTCCATCGCGACAAGTGCAGTGCGTCTCTCGGGGCGCTCACTCGAGTTCCGGTCCAGTCGTGTGCACACGTTTCAGCGCCGGATGTTGCGTGCTTTGAGCGGGGGCATACGACTACTTTGGGGGCAATGGCATGCGCAATGGTGGTTGTACTTCGGAGGTTTACTTGAGGGACTCTGCCCGGAGCCTTTGGCTCAATAGCCTTACCCACAAGGCAGTGGGGAGCAGATCCAGCTCGGAATTGTGATTGCAGAGACAGATCGGGATCTGCTTGAGGTCCATCACACGCAGCCTTTGGAGATCTGGAACAATTCATATATGTTTTGCGACCGTAGCAGGATACGCACCTGCGACCACGGCCAGACGCAGGTGGGTTTTGGCGGGTTTGCACCAATTTGATCAGGCGCTGCCTGGCTTGACGCGGACGGTAACAAACCATTAAGCACGCGAAGGTGCCCTCCCACCGTCAGATATAATGGGTGCGCTCTGCTCTACACAAATCGAGTTTTAAGCTTATAAGACCTAAACCTGTTGTCTCCCATGGCTTATTTTTTACTTAAAGAGGGCCAACGACCACTTCCTAACCTCCGAACAGGATGGGTTAGGATACTGGCAGGGCACCCGCACCTGACAGGAGAACGACTAGGGTCTTCAGCCAACGCCTTCGATTAAATGTACAGCCAAAAGGCAGCGGAGCTAGCGCATGGTCAGTTCACTGACTCATGAGGATTGGTGTGCTGGCTCTTAGCTGGACGAAGGGCGTAACCCAGCTCTCACACAGCGGTCGCCACGAGAAGACGTACAGGACATGAGCCCACGGCACAACATTAGCTTCCATTGGTCGACGATGTACAAAGATCTAGCCACCACTAGCCTCAGCGCACCGCAGGCCGAAGTAACAAACTGAGAGGCCAGTATCTCAAACTGGATCCGCACTCCACTCCACTTGACTGTCAATAAAACGCCATCTCTTTCCAGGTGTCCCAAACCTGGAACTGCCTTCCAACTTACCTCGTCTGTGCTGTTATATTAATGCTTTTCAAAAGCGCCTTTATGACACTCTTTCCAATTTGCAGTACTTGCTATAGTCCGTTTCACTCGGAGGATGAAATAACGCGAAGCAAACTATGTGATTAACATCCCATTTCGCAAACTGGCGGTGTAGATACATGCATAAGAGTCCTTGTGAACAGCTTGGACGTACCTACACCGGATTATGGTATCACATTCATCAAATGAAGCGGCATATGAGCGAGCGTTGTCATCTATATTTTTTGATTTTGCAAGTAGTACATGAACTCTAACTGCTCTCCATACTACCTTATGTGCGCATATTCCAATTTCACTTCAAACTATCTTTATGCGGCATTACCGTTAAATCGGTAGACGTTTAGAATGATGATGTGCTTGTCTTCTGATCTTCCTTATTTGGCTTCATAATCCAACCATCCTACGGGGCTTGTCAAACAAATTCTTTTTCATCCTTAATAAATCATCGTTCATTGGCGAATGACACGTCTAAAAGTATATTTGCAGTTGGTGGTAAGCCGGATCTAAATAAATGCGCAGGTTTATTGAGTTATCCGTAGAGAACCACGCTTTGAGAAATTCCTTTCCTTTTCTTGTCTCTCCCTGCACTAGGATCTTTGTTTTCTCCCAGTCAAACAAATGCTCTTGCTTATCAACATGCGTCGAGACCAATGTTCATCAGTAATCGTTTCGACAGGCTCATTTGTGTTCTTGCAACCTTGTAGATAATTTTCTCCACGTTTCGCCCGCATTGTGTTCAACACAATTTTCCATCATTTCCTTTAAACAGCATTCCGGCTTAAGTGTGCACTTGTTTACCCATTCGTTTTCTTTTTTTAGTTCTCTCTCTCTCTCTCCTCTCTCTCTCTCTCTCTCTATATATATATATATATATATATATATATATATATATATATATATATATATAGTAGCTAATGGAAGCCTTTCATCACTTCGTTAACTTTATGAAAGTGGTATGCTAATAGCACAGTAATTGGGAACTCGATGTACCTGATACTCCACTATCCACAGAATTAGATGAATGTTTCGGGATAACATTTATAAACGGTTGCTTTTAGTATGTAGTAGTTCGCTTGCAGACGACGTTTGAGCAAATTAGACGAGTTCTTGCAAAGCTTTGGAATGACCATATCGGACTGCATCTAAACGACACCAACAGCTGATCATTTGCATTTATTTTCCAGTTTACTCCGAAGAAGTGGAGGGTCGGTGTCAATGTTTACCTAATGAGCGTTGACTATGCTTGCCTTACCGCTGGGTCCTTCACACACGCACGCGCGCACCCATGCATGCATGTACATATCCCTTCATACCTGGTCACATGTATCACGTCAGAGGTTGAGTATACTGTCCATCGTACGCCTGCTGTCTTCTTTCCATTTCGCTAGGGGCAGACGTACCTTTTACTACGACCGAGTCATGAGAGTCGGGTGGCATTATTGGCCTCAGTAGGCGTTCAGTGTTACTGTTATTGCTATTATCAGTAATATTATAATTATTTGTTTGCATGACAGGGTACTTTATCTGCGTTCTTTTCGCTGTGTAAGCGCAGAGCACCGAGATGTCGGATCCGTGGACGACGCTTCATAGTTGATAACCGCGTACCGTTACTCCGGTAACTAGCACATGCCGACTTGGTGACACGTGCTTGGGTTGTAGACCACCACCACTTAGGCGATAAACGCGATCATCCTGTGGAACTAACGACCCGCAGTCTTACGAATGGTGTAAGCGCAAATCCTTTCGATCGATTGATTGAGTAGGGTTTCTTTCCCACCAATCCGACTTGGCCCACCTGACCACACTCCGCGAGATCGTCACGATTGGTTAGGCTTGTGTTCTGGTGCGTGGATGGCATTACCATGGCATTTCACACACTTCCTGACTTGCATTCGGTGTGAACTCGCTCTTTAGGAGCGACGTTTAATCGCCTGAATATCCTGTGTACGCATAATAGACGTCGAGGTTGATTTTATCCTACTTGTTTACTTAGCCATGTTACAATTAGATTTTCGTTGTGCTGGAAATGTGCAATGTTGGGATTGGTCACTGTGAAATTGGACCTCACTCTTGGCCACTTATTACGCCTAAAAGGCCATTCCACTGAATTGCGTTGGACCGAACAATGTTAAAACTATATGAACGCGAATAGCATCTGATGTCTTCCTACTGTAAATACCTTATAGAGAATTTCCATGCATTAGGTAAGTTCCTCTCCATGGTGTCATTTGTACTACGAAATGTTCATTTCTAGCTCTTTTACTACGTATGCTCTCATTCTACAGTGTTTACCTGAGCACCAGGTGAATCAGATGCGTGGAGACCTGTACAAACGCAACATGCTACTATTGCGGACACTACACCACTGTCGTAATAATCTTTCTGTTTTTATTCATACTGATAATATACAAGTTTCATTGTGGCTCTGTTCATCCTCACCACATGAAAGTGCAGTGCACGTCACTTTGCCTGTAGTGTATGATTCATGACACGGCTTGATGAACGGGAGCTCTAAAGATGGAAGCCGGATATAAAGAAATCGGATTAGGTCAAGCAAATAATATCAAGCTCCAAGGTTATATGGTTAGCTTGTCCCATTACTAGTGTTCTATGTCGTTAAATGTCTGCTATGTCGACACTCGAAGCACTGTAATTTAGATAGCGCTAAATCCAAAGAACTAACCTGACCTCTAATGTTGAACGGAAGTAAAGGTTTGCCTGCAGGTGTAGGCATACCGGTTCGCATTTTTCCCTCATCATGCAAGGTTTCTCGCAGTTGACTGTTTTCAAATTCATCGCTTCCATACACATTTGATGCGTCGATAAATGCGGTGATCTGATTCAGCTGTTCCCGGTGGTGTGGTTTACCGAGAAGGATTGAAGTGGAGCCCGAACCGCAAGTGGCGCTGGACCTTGAAAACCCTATGCACCGATGTTTAATACGTGGATCACCGGGTGGAACTAGGATGGGGAAGCACGGAGGATCGTGAAGACAGGTTTCGTTACAATTGAGTCCGTCACTGTACCGACTGACCGAGGCATCCACAGGGGTAAAGTCAAGGTCGTGGTCCAAAAATTGACCCCACTGCATTAACATTCCCGAATACTTCTCATCCTCATCGAACAAACTTCCGTGCTCCTCCTCGAAGTTCTTCATGTTGTTCTTGAGTTGTTCAAATCGATGTCTTGGCATTGAAAAAGGAGACTCTTCTAAAGACTAGAGAGGATAGATGTGACATGAACGGCTATTGACAAAATAATGTGGAAAAAGACTGGTTGGTTTATAATGCAGAATAACCGGATGTGGAACATAAAGAGAGAGAGAGGGTGATACAAATGGAGGAATTAGATTCAAAATCGGTACCTCACTATTAACTTTACGTATCCATCCCCGGCGAACGTGTTTACTTGTTTTATGACTAGCTTTCTGCAAATCCCACTGGTGCATTGGGGCGGAATGTCAAGTTATGCAAATAAGGTGTAGTACAAATGGAGAAAGAGCTAATGGTTTTAAATACATAAGTTTACGGTGACCAATATCTCGGCACAAACTTGGAATCGACTAAAATCTTATGATTTTAGGTCTTCAATACAAATCAGGTTTTGTATATTTTTGCAGCAACGTTTCGCTCCTGACGCAGAAGTTCTTTCTGGACAGGTGAATCGGTACACAACTGGCTTAGCTTTTTATGGGAAAGTAGGGTGAAGATTGCAAGAGATAACACGAATCATCGGATTATAGTGTTACAGGTCAAGGGTGAATATTCGTGCACAAGTGGTGTGCATTATCAGATTTCCGAAGTCTGGGCAGTCAAATTCCTACAATAGCGGAGCGTGCCGTATTAAAAGCGCTAAGAGAAGACTCTGCCATCATTCGGAGTACTCGCTGTGTGATTGCATTGCGACACGCAAGTACTATACTAACCTCGGTCCACTTTGAATTGGACCTCAGTCACTGCGAGCACAAGGAACCTATCCGAATTGGAGGTGGTTCGGGGTTGCTCCTCCTAGCACTGACACCACATAACCGTTTTCCTTCTCGTTTGGACTCATCGGATGGAGATAGCCTGAGCTTGGCAAGCGTAGCTCACGGATCTTAGAGCCACAGTGATTAAGGTGTCAGCCTTTAACCACTAGACCCCGAGTTCCATCCCAGCTCAGGCTATCCTCACTTGGTATGTCCAAACGAGGACGACACCGGTTAAGGGGTGTAAGTGTTGGGAGTAGCAATACCGAGCCCCCTTCCCATCATCATTACGAAAGCCGATAAAGGTAAGACCGTGATGATAATGAACAAATGATCCAGCATTTGACGGCAGGGCCATACGAAGTAATTGAAAAAAATCCGCATCGTCCATAATGAATAAGTGTAACACCGAGGTAGGAAATTACCTGGGGAGTGTGAAGGACAACCTAGGGCCGGGTCAATGGAAAAGCGTATATCCGACATCAACGACTCCACCTAGGCTTTCCAAAATACATAAGCCCGACATACCCCTTTGGCCCATTGTAGATGTTATCGGTTCCCCGACGCACGAACTAGCCCGATATTTGGCAGGTTGGTTGCAACAACTAACAGGATGGACAAATACGTTCGTAAAGAACTTCGGAATTCCCGCGAAAGTATTGGGAGAACAGCTATGAGACATTCATTTTTTGTGAATGAGCTTAATAACTATTCTTTACTCTTCCTATTTTCTACTTCTTGACTGGTGTTTAAACGCTCCACTGTGTTAGCCCGATTGGTACACGCACATCATTGTTAATGGACCCTCATCTCCATGTCCTCTTCAGCAATGCCATTGGCAAGAACACATTCCAATGGCTTTTCTAAGCATCACTTTTCTATTTGGTTATGTTAAAGGAATATATAATTGTCACGATTATTGTAGTAGTTGTTAATTTTTGGGTCTGGATTTCTTATTATCGTTTTTTTCATGACATTCGTTCAAACACTACATTTCGTTACTCTGATTGGCCAGTGCCCGTCACTGTAAATGGAGGTTCGCTTACGCTTGGGGTCCTATGATGCTGTTTTTTAAGGACATATGCGATTCGCCCTTGAGTACACGATTGCTTATTCGCCGTTGCACTTGACCTTTTCCTTCTGTTGGTTGCCGCAAGTCTAATTTAGTAGCTTTCCTTCACTTTGCCTTCAAAACTATATAAGCGAATGTGCTTTCATGTATAGAAGTCTTTTTCTGTCTCGTCTTTGGACTTCTTGCGGTCGTGGGATGAAGACGTCAGTGGCGACACAACAGAGAGTTAGCAGGTCGGACCATCGCGTCAGGAAAAATCAGGTTTAGTTTCGAAATGAGTACCCTACTCATTAACGTGCCCGAAGATGACACATCGGGGGTAGCACATGGTTTTCTGGCTAAGGACAGTAGCCTGAAGTATCGACCGAAACACACAGTAGACCAGATAATCGATTGAACTAAAGTGTGCCTTAAGGTGTCCTATTTCACGTTCCAATCGAGACGGTACTCTCAGGAACAGGGCGTTGTCATGGGGTCACAAATATCCCCGTGTTAGCAAATCTGTATATGGAAGAATTTGACAGGAGGGCGCTGACAAACTCCAGTCGTTCGCCAAAGATTTGATGGCGTTAGGTGGCTGATACATCTGTGCTTATGAAGCAGGATATAAAGGATGAGTTTCTAAACCATCTGAATTTCATTACTGGAAACATAAACTTCACTATGGAACTAGAATCCTGCAGTGGCACACTACCATCCCTCGATTGCCTAGTTCATATGAACGGTGGACGGTTAAAGACGACGATATATCACGAGCCGACAGATACGGATGGAGTACTTCACTACAGTTCGGGTTATGTTAAACATGTCTATGCCGTTGTCGCATCCACTCTGTTTCATAGAGCCCAGACGCTGTGTAGAGAGAAAGGGAACAGGAAAGCAGCTCATAAAGTGACAGTTGGCCAATTAATGAATAGTGGGTATCTGAGACAGTTGCCAGTTGCAGTGAGTAATAAATCCACCTCCGCGACGCACAACGAAGTGGATTGGGAAGGTCTGAATCTTCTTTAAAAAGTAACCTCAGAAACAATCAGGCGGGCACTAAACAGGGAGAAAATAAGAGTGGTTTTTCAAAAGGGTCAAACATTGCATTTGAAGGATCTGATTCCAAGAGGTATCACGACAAATCCCGTCCATAGAATCAGTTGCAAAGACTGTGAAGACGAGTATATGGGTCAAACGGCGAGAGAGCTACGCACGGGGATAGCAGGACACAAGAAGCACGTTTCCTGTCCACTGAGGAAGGAAACTGAATGCTGGGCCCAAATAAGCTATTCAGTGGTGGATGTACACGCGAGAGACGCGGGATAAGAAATTGACTGGGACAGCGTCGAGATACGTAAGGGAGGATTACGAGTGTTAGGTCTCGAACGGCCTGCTCTAAGGAAAATTGCGTTGTCTGAAAATCAAGTCGAGTTGGCGCCAATGATTCAGGCCAAATCTTGTAACTTGGATGGAAAAACAGAATTTCACACAGACCAAAGTCAAATGCGCACCGAAACGAAACAAATTGACTTGTTCGGAAAGGTAAGTGCGCGATTTCCCACAAGGAACCGTGTGCTTTGTATTAGAACAGTCTTAGTTACAAGCAGACTAGTGTGTTTTTCCATGTTGCAGAACATTGTTACTATCGCTTGTTTCACGCCACTCACACGTTCCTTGTTTCTGTGAGACATATAAAATCAAACGAGCACACTTCCGTGATTTGAACTGTATCGGTGTGTTTTCATCCCAACGCGGCCTGTTCTGTGTTTCGCCAATATACCACTCGTCCAGTGGTTTGTCTTTTGAATCGCGTGGCACAATCTAGGAAGCCGCTAAGTCGAGCCCTGAAGACACAACAAAGAGCAACATGCCAAAGATTGATTTATGAGACGATTGAGATTACTAAGACGAATAACTGTGTGAACAGAACGGACGGGGCGGTTATGAAACGCGTGGCGAGCTGTCTTAACTCGGCAAGGCAGAAAAGGTGTCGGTGGTCAAATTGAGGTCGGAGCGTGAACAATAATGCCTCAATTGTGATATACCGGTGACGCGGATCAATGATGAACGCTTGATGCCTGCTGTTAGACTAGAATGACCACTTGACCTATTGACCTGTAAGACCATTATCCAATGGTTTGTGCTATTTCTCGCAAAATTCGACCTACTTGCCCCTAAAAATATAAGCAGTGTGTACCGATTCACCCGGCTTGAAGAAGCTCTTTCGTCAAGAGTGAAACTTTGCTACAATAAAAATTTACGGGGACCATTTTCAAGAGCCAGGGTGCTGAGTTGTTTGGTATTCTGAGAAGAGTGGTCGCAGCTAGACTCAGTCAAATAATCACCACACATACAGGAAAGCGCTAGACGGCCGTTTCGTCCTATTGGGACTCGTCAGTAGCGCGCACCTGCCGAATCCCGCCGCATTCGTCAGATTGCTTTCTGTGGAGCCATTCATAACACTTGTATGAAACAAGGTATCCGTGTTCATTTGGCTGATATCCGTAGTTTGATTTAGAGTAAAAAACACTGCGGATTCGACTTTCCATGATTTGAACATGCGACCATGTATTTTGTTGGTGAGACAAATGTTGTCAGCGTTTGTGTAACAGATCAACTCAGTGTTAAACTCCAGGAAATTGCGATGCGGTAAATGCCTTCCGTCAGAACTTAGGAGCACGCTGTTTGGCAATTTAACTTATAGCCCTACTGGACTTTTCAAAGCGTAGGCATGTTTACAACCAACGGGTACCATGATCACAGGTTCAGAAAATTATCTATTTGCTAAGGTGTATTAAGTTTATGGAAATTATTTTACCCGTCAACCGTCCAACCACCAATCCGGAAAGTTCTCTTGGGACTCGTCAGTTTTGTGCATTCCCTCAGTCCTCATCACTGAACCGAACGCGTGACCGCAGTACATGATAAAAGCTTAATCAGGTACAAGGTGACCACTCGGGTATATAACGCATCATCCATGAGCCCAGCTGTACTCATGTTGCCCAACAGTATAAGAAAAACTCACACAACACCAACCACTTGGCTGGATGTACAGTGATGTTCATAAACTGTAGCTGGGACGTGTACGTAGTGATTAAGCACATCTATGGGTCCTTCAGATCAGTTTAGATAGCTAGTTGTCCGAAGGAAAGGAAACCATATCTGGCCTTTGCAGAGAGGTGGTGGAGCAACGTTTTGAACCTGTCAATATCAAAGCCCAGTAAATATTGCGCTTTTACACACCATAGATGGATGAATTTTCAGTCATCATCTTACTAACGCCAAGATCAACAAGGCCCTGACTAAGAACACAAACCGACGATGGTTTGCTCACAAGTAATTTCGCCAACAGAATCGTGCGCACTTGCAGAGGTCACATAGCATAGGAAAACTTGTCTGTAATTGGACCATTTCAAAGCACGCCTGTTACAACGAGCAAACAAAATGGGAAGTATTGTCCCTTCATTCTTGGTTTAATACTTCAGCTGTACATAGCTATGCAATAGATTTTCCTACAGATAGCGGTTACGAAGGCACAGCGTCATGTCTGAATGCTTGCAATCATTTGAATGTGAACAGATATATCTATGCATTTCATCTTGGACAGAATGCGGTGTTAGGTTAGCAACCACAACCTGACTTGCTTGAGGAAACAAGGGGCGCAAACATGAACGAGGTTCCTTGTACCAAGTGAAACAGATATGGTGCTGGTTCACTCAGTCTATTTGATATACTCTATGAATCCCGCTTGCATTGTGTTTGCGACTGATGAGAACAATCGAAATGTTGACAAATCGCAACTTATGTCTTCTCACAGCTCTGACAAAATGGCGGAAGGGGACCCACTGTTTTACCTTTCTGAAAAGAAGACTCCGCATTACCGTTACGAGGGCATTAGATCGATTGATATACTCTGTCGGTGGCCGATTGGTCTGCGCGCCTGGATTGCAACCATAAGGTCACCGATTGGAATCCGCAGAGGGACAGGCGTCCTCGCGGTATACTCAGCCCACGTGCGATTGGTGGTTCTCGCTTGGCAGCAAAGCGCCGTTACGGCGTACAGCGGACACATTAATTGTTATTATACTCGGTAATGGAATTAACCTTTCGGATCTCTGTAAATCTTCCCCTGAAGATTACTGCTGAAGCCTCTGTCATGTCGCCGATGATTTCTTTGCGCTCATCATATACTGAGTTATCTCGTTGTACACCACTCTGCACTGAGACCACGGACGCCTAATTCCTAAATCACAAGTGTTCCAATGGGCAACGCAACAGTTTTTTAACAGACACGTGGAGGAAAAACCCATATATCCAACCATACTGTGATTATTAAATAACCTAATCAATTTTGGACACAAATTCTTCCATAAGTGTAAACTTACCGTTGTGGATCGATCAGAAATGTTACCGCTTTGAATCATTTTAACCTTTTCTTTTCGATTTTTGTTCCATTCCTCAAGCGCTTTCAACCTGAAAAGCAACAAGTTTACTTTGCTTAAGTTCAGCAATTTTCTAAACCAGACAATCTCTTTTGACTTACCGTTGTTTAGCCTTTCTAGAACCGCAGCGTTTGTCAAATTAGCCCTGGTATATAATCGAGAAAAATTAACCAGACAAGTAAATGATTCATTTTATTATGGTCTCTCTTCTGTGCAAATTATACCTACGCAATGCCAATTACGAACGTTTCGCGAGTGCGTTGGACATGACCACTTGGCTCTAAACTTTGCTACCATGGTTCTACCCATTCGTAACTTTGCGCCCTATGAACGTTCACGCATTTACTCCAGGTCTTACATATAAAACAGCCTGAAATGAAACCATTGTTAAGACACCTCTAGGTTAGGGCTGCAAACGCACCATATCGTTCATTCACCCACATTCCAGACAAGAAAATTATTGTGGTTTACTGGAATCCAGCAAAGGAAGTATGACAGTCTGCCTACCGCAACAAGTAGGCACCACGAGCGTGTCGTTGCCGAAATAGACAAAAGCAAGTCGCATGAAGGAGTATCTGTACCGCGTGTGGACTTCTCCACATGCCCATAACATTAGAGATCTGAAGCTATACGCCAAAATTATGGTAAAGAAATTGGATCTGTATGCCAACGAATGTACTCTATTAAAGTGAATTAGAGTGAATGCTTTTTACTGAGAAGGGTACATCTCAACTTGAGTCTCCACAGCATATAGCTGCTTGATATTCGAAAAATCAAAGGTGGATGTTCCGCTAAGACAACGTTGAGCACAGATTCGTAGTAAAATCAACTTCGTCAACATCAAAAGACTTCATGTACTACAAAACTATTAATTGCACGTAATAGCTGGAGTGAAGCCCTTGATGATGAAGCAGGAGTCGATGTCATCTACTGGACTTCTCAAAAGCGTTTGATCGCTTAGGCCATCGTATTCTTCTTCAGAAGCTTCGGAGCTACGGTATTGGCGACCAAATCCTGAGTTGGGAAAGCAATGTTCTACACGAACGACGACTAGCGGTGAGAGTCCGAGAATCATTGTCCGATGCAATTGATCTGGAGTGTGTTGTACTACAAGGCTCGGTGCTTTGGCCTCGTTCATTCTTGGTGTTCATTAACGAGTTGGCAAGATCAGTTGCTTCCGATTTCCTATTTTTCACTGATGATATCAAGATATGGCGAAGGAACAGAGGGCCGGACGACCACGAACGGCTCCAGTGCGATGTTAACACGGTATCGAACTGGTCAGTTCAAAACGCCCAACCATTCAACGTAGACAAATGTCGCGTTGTGCGATTACGCCATAGACATGAGTGCACGTATTTGCTTGGGGCACACGGATTGTAGACTAAGCTCCCAGAAAGGCGACCTTGAGGTGCACATACAGAGCGACCTCAACTGGTCAAAACAGGCTGAGATAGCTACGAAAAGAGGCAACCAGCACGTCGGCATGCTTCGAAGGGCATTCGGGAGTTTAGACCCATTAATCTTCCTAATGATGCACAATTCCCACATGCACTCACATGTTCTATAGGCTGTTCAAGTTTGGTAACGTTGGATGAAACGCGACCTAGAGGCATTAGAGACACCACAAGGAAGAGTAACAAAGAATGTAAACGACTTGCTCTATCACTCTTACCACCGAAGCCTAAAGTTGCTGGGAATTTTCAGCCGACGCTACCGAGAGCTGCAATGCGATCTCATTTTAGTGCACCAAATATTGAGTGACCCCACCTGCTTATGCTACCATTTGCTGCAACTCAGGCACACCATTCTCAGATGTAACTGTTTGAAATTGAGTGAACACTACAGCCATCTAGAGAGTCGATGGAATCACTTTTCTTTTCGGGTTTGCCAACTACGGAACGCTCTCCCAGACTCATTTGTATCCTCCCCTGATTTGGACACCAGTAAAAAACGATTTGATGTTACTCTTAGCTCCCAGCCCTTCGTTGCCTATACTGCGCTATTGTGGATTACATTAACCATACACTCCTAAGGGATTTATGTGTCACATGAGCCCATGGAGGTGGTGCATGAGTGAGCGACCGGATTTTATTTTTCGCACGTTTTAAGTCAACGGTCACTTCACCCCGTTTACTTCTGTATGCTTGCATTCGACTCTTATTTTACACTAACGTTATTTATTAACGCATTTATCTCGGTATGCGATGGCTAAGTGACACACATACCTTTTGATTCCATTGTATTCACTCCAACCATCCTACGGGACGTGTCATACACTTTCTTTTAACCCGTGATAAAGCATAGTTCACCTAGCTATCTGAAACATTACAGGTCAGGTTTTTCCGTAATTGCCTACTTGGCATGAAAGTGGACAGTCTCTCTGATTCACGAATGCTTAGGATTGATGACAGACGTAGGCACATGGCTCATAACTGGGTGACAGATGACGGAACAGCCCTAGCCCTGCGCAGTATGCTATGCGATAGTTTCACCCAACATCATGTTCACACGAATCATTCAGAAAATTACTGAGGTGGAATTCATGCGTATGAGATCAGGTGTTTTCCATTGTGCTTACTGAAGAGATAGGGTGGCAGTACCACGCAGGACCACGGCAGTCCGTTGGGTTTCGTACTACAACGCTCTAATAGTGAGAGATGAGTGATCTTATTTCAGAAGAGACCAGTGATGTAACCCTAAATAGTGGATGGTGCATCGAATGATGCAACACTGCGTGCTGAGTGTCGGTCCTCATGAACAGACATCACAGTGCGAGGATGGCGTTAGGTCATAAGGGATGTTACATTGATAATCCTATTTGCATCCAACCAGTTGAAGGCAGTTGTGCTTCGATTTATTTTCTCAAATCTATGTAAGTCAACATTTCGTAGGTTACTTAGTACATTTTGATTAGCAATGCTGGGTTTCATATGTATAGGTTTTCATATTGTGAAGCAATACTAATGAGTAGAAAGGTGAAATGAGCAGGCGCAGCAGTGTATTCGGGCGGGCAATACCAATTTCCATCAGCGAGTAACGGATCACCGCAAACTATTGGCGCGTAGTGCGCATTTCAAGCAACCATGGAAACGGCTGATGCTGGAGTTTTGGGCCTATACCACACCGTTACTGCAAGCTGAGTCGATAGCAATTAGCAGAGTGTATAATCAAACGGCACCATACGTGAATTGCGCAAATGAGTCCGACTGTACTATGTTCGGAATGTTAGACCATATATACCTTCGTCCTGCAGTAGAAAACTCGTTCGCACCGACCCGTCTTCTCCGCAATATGTTTCAACGCAGAGCAATTACATTGGCGTCTACGGTCCTCTAGATTAAAATAGTATGATTTATTATGAACCGTGATCCCATCCCTATTGAGCAATATCTTCAGCGAGATGAGTGATAAGGTTTCATATGTTTGAAACACCGAGGGTGTACTATTCACTGACATACGTTTATTTGATTGTATGGTACTGTATAAAAGCCTGTGAATAAGTAGCCACTGCGTATCACGTAGCAGTTTTTCCCGTTCGTTTCTGCTCCTTCCAAAAACGAACATCTCAGTTCTCATAATCGCATTTAACCCTATCTGCTTGATAAAAAAACGAAAAATATTTTGTCTCCTAACACACTCAGTGGTTTCACCATTGCGTCAACAAGAACCATTTATTGAACAACCATCAACTTGCCTTGAGATATGCCTTCCAAGAAGTGTGGCGTCACCTAAAAGTTTTATTGAAACTAGTCTTGCTGAAGGTTTTGGGTAGCCGAAGTACAGTCGCGTGGGTGACCAACCAATAGGAGTGTTTATCTCATTCTCATATTGTGGCGGAAGTAACCGCTTGAATGGGGCTAGTGCCGCACCCCAGCGAGGGTGATCAAAGTTGTTACAGGCGCCATCGATTGATCTATATCGTAAGTGAAAACAGAGTTGCTGGGAGCATGGATCGATACTACTGGATTCTTGGCACCCTGAAAGTTGTGATATTATGGCTAGTTGATCGGCACTCAATTGAATTCCGAAGGCTTCCCGCGAATTGGGATCTGACACTTCTTCGGGTTTGAGTTCCCCGGCCTCTGGTACGCCATGCATATCCAACTTCCTGTGGCCACGTTGTCTCAGAATGCTAGTGACCTCATCAATGGCAGCTTCGTAAACTTCCGCCGCCTTCGCCAATTCAAGTGCTGCTCGACTTGGCTGGCGAAACAAAGATGCAACGTCCGCAGAAGATCGACGACGGCTTGGATCGCGCAGTCTTTCAGCAGTGTTCTTGATCGCGGCTTCAATACGTATTCTGGCTTTCTCTATGACGTGGCGAACGAGTTCATCCCAAGACAGCAACTTCGTTTCTGGCGTTTCTTTCATCATTTTCGACGTCATAGAGTTACCTTGGGATTCAGTAAGCTTTGAAAGCATTGGAGACGCCTCTTGCCTAGTCAAAACTTGGATGACAGTGGACACCCGTGCCGATCCCATTCTGTTAGATACATAACAAATATAGCGTCCATGGGAGTCCCTTTTGGTGATATTTCGAATATGCAAGACACTAGTAGTTTCAGATGAGGTAACACTATCTGTGATGTACTTGTTCTGCGCATTCAACGAATTCATTTCTATGGTACCCGTTTCCATGCCAGAAGGATACGAACGCACAATATAGCGACCTCCGGTGACCAAGTGTAGTGGCAGCGTTTCTTCCTGCCATAACCAAGAAATCTTTGGTCGTGGTCTTCCCCTGCTAGAGCAACGCAGTTCCAAGTCGGAGCCTTCGACAGCAACATTGTTGTCTGCAGGTGGTGCTACGGTAATGCGTGCTTTCGTAGGTTGTACGAGACGTAGAGTTGCGTCTGCAGAAATGCGGTGATCTTCTGTGCCAGTGACTACGCAAGTGTAAGTACCCTCGTGATAGTCGTGAGTTTCGTAGATTTCCAAAACCTGTCAATGTAAAATTAAACCAAGTATGAGGATTACTTACTGTACGCTAGAACAGCAGTACGGTACATAAAAAGCAACTAGCGGTAAGTAAAGGTTAAAGAAACGCGCCTGATTCGACAATGTTGCTTCCTTAGTTGACGGAACCATTTATGCTTCTAGGTACTGCAATGAATAGGGCGTGTGTTCGAAGGTAGAAAATAAAAGTCTAGTTTTGTATAACACAGAACCGGCTTTCAACAAATCGAACTGCTCATTCTAGCGGTTAATCTTGGTGATCTTCGCTGCTAACCGAGTTGCTGTGTCCGTGGATACCGCAAAAATCACTCTCTTACAAATACTTTTAGCTAATACACACATTGTTCAACCTCCCCCCCAGACACAAAATTTGGCCGTACCTAACGAGGTCCACATGAGTAAATTAGTTATGGAACACACCTTCCCACGTAAACACAAAAGCGGGGTCCACGCAAGCTACGTCCTGGCTTCCGTGAAGTTGGCTTCAAACGCTCGAGATCCATGTGAACTCACACGTGACTTGTCAGACTCAAGCGAATGCTGCTCCAGTTGGAATGCACTTTGGTCACCAACCTCTGTATATAATCAAAGCAAAGCGACTAGTGTTCTCTTTTAACCGGACCATTAAAGTGCTGTTACAGGAAACGTGTCTCCACTTTTCCCGGTGGGTTCGAATACGCTTTGTCGCTCTCATACTCCTCATGCGTGTGGGTCAAATTCAGAAAGGTTTGTGTTCTGTTCAGAAGGACAGCCCGTGAGGGTTGTGCAGCTCGTACCGTCTACAAAATAGTGACAAACACAACGGTATTCTTCATTGTTGCAGAAAATGAGCGCATTCAACCGGTTTTTTCGAACACGGCACCTCCGCTCTTCTGGTATATCGTAGCCAATTCGCTGACCGAACAGTTACTTACATTGTGACTAGCATACACGTTTTTCGTGTCATTGTGATATGTCTTACTTATGGGAGTACCCAGATAAGTGTTCAACCTTTTGGTTTTGTTTATGCGGTGTTCATAAGGAAAACCCCATTCAGCTTCCATAATATCAGCTCCTAACCGGATAACCTCATCTGCATCACGAGGTCAAATTGTGCCTAACTTATCTCATATGAAACAGTTGATTCCTTGAGACAAGCTTCTCCTCCTGAACCGACATCTATCCTATGAAATATAAGTTTTTCAAACACAGCGGCGGACATGAGTGGAGTTTTGAAGTATCCGTCTTATGCACTAATAATAACATGTAATCGCACACTGAAAAGCGAGTTATTTTGGAACAATCATCGGTCCGTTTCTAATGTATTCTTTCATAGTAGGATAAATACGCAAGTACGCCGTCTTCGGTCCCCCGTAATTAAAACGACCGACGACGAATCACACAGTTGTTAAACTGTAGACACAGTCTATCGTAACCAGAACGATAGCAAACAAAGATCCAGCTAGAAGGGTCCTGAATGTTTACGTGTTCACAATGCGTACAGCGTGTGACCTGCAAAGCGTTAAACGTGTGCCAACGTGAGGTATTGATTTAGACCAGAATAGCTAGTGTTCAGATAAACACGCAGCCATATTTGAATTGGTACGTATTAGGACTTATTTTGGGATATGTAAAACATCACAACGCAATCCCATACAAGGGGAACATCAGGCATCAACAAATTTCATCATTAGAAACGCATTCAAAGTTGACACATGTTGGGTGCTACTTATTTCTAACGCCGCAGTCAACAACATTTTAAACTTGTCTATACCCTCTAGATCAAGATTACCGCACCGACATTCGAACTTAGGACGTGATAACTTCCAGAATACAATTCTCTGCACAGTAACCCACTGTCTACCTCGAGATTACACATCACAGAAGATAAACGTGAAAGTCACTTGAAACCCAACACCAAGTTCCAGCATGTTGTCACCAGGGTTGCCCACGGGGGTAAGCGGTGTATCTGTGCATGAGTCAACCGGTTGCCTCTTTATCTCGAGGTCGATTCCCAGGTACAACTATAATAACCTGAAAGGCATAACGAAGGAGAAATTCGGTCTAAACGGTTCAGCGTATGGGAACATGGTCAATAAGAGTTCCGCACTCAAGTATATTTAAATCTTTCCCTTGAGATACAGGGTTAGATGCATAATTTATCGGATTTACTTCTCGTTAAGACTGCAGAGAACCACGGGGTGCCTTCAGTTGTAGAAGTAACATGGGTGGCTCGCGTTACACCAACCATACACTCCATATCGATTGCATACCCGAAGGAATAAGACTAGTAGGCTTAGAGGCAGAGAGCGATAATGAATTCACAGACGTTCCAAACTCAGTTCTGTAGAGACTCAGCTGATAGACAATAGAAACTAATTACTTTTCGTGCATGTACAAGTTGAGATCCAAAGGGAAGTTGCTGCGCTGAAACATCGCGAGTGGTCTACATTCAGTGCACGAAGGTAAGCCTGTACACACTTCCGTTCCAACTTTTTCCTGGTAAGGTAGGTCAGTTATGTAACTGGCTGCCGTAAAAAGTACAGGCGAGTGGGAACCTACCGAAATTTAAAGTGCATTCGGAGGCGTTTCTCACTATGCTGAATATAATGTAAACATTCGGTGTTCTAGTGTCTACAGGTGGGTTGAATGCATCTGGCCCAAACAATATGTGACAGACGCTGCAAGTTCACCTTATCCCAACACACCTGTTCTACACGGAAATGCCAACCTTAACACCCCACTTGCATGTGAAGAAAATATACATGCGTACGGCTTACCTTTAATCTTCGTATTCTTTTACTATTACGTAGGCTATGTAAAATTGACAATTCACACATTCAAGTCGTTTTGAAAGGCGAAAATAACCCATTAATAACTTTAAACTGGTCGATGTTAACTTCTGTTAAAGCCTACCACACCAAACAATATGATGACATCCTACACTATCATGAGCTGGGCCATTCGTTCAATTATTTTGTCGTTAAATCTTTTTATTTTATTTTATCTTCACCATGGGCTTCCTTTGTCTCCTTTTTCCTTCTTCCTTGTTGCTCACGACTGAGCTGCTCTGCTGAAGTGACGGAATATAGCTTTCAAGGAACCTGCTTACGCAGGAAAGGCCTTCAGTCAAAAAGATCCGCTGGTGAATATAAAAAGGCTGCTGAAAACGCCTTACAGTCTGAACTGTCGAATCCACTTCCAAAGCTCGGCGAAATCGGTCATCATGTGCAAAAAATGCATGACTGGTTGAGTGGCCAAGTTACGGAAAAAATCGCCCAAATGATAACAAAAAGCGGTGGTGACTAGCCCGCTTCTAAGCCACACCGACTCACGAACAGATGAGGTGTGGATGTGCGAGCGAAACCTCACAGGTGATTACACCACATGGAAGCAGGTCCCTATGAGGCAGTCCCATGGGTTGATGGTATTACTTCACTTGATATTTCTTACCATACTTCCCTCTCTGGCTTCAATCTGTGTTGCGTTTGTTCCTGGTCACTTCAATTATACTCTCTTATTGTCTAAACGAAATCTACCTTTAATTTATTCTTTAGACCACGTTCTTGACTTTACCACAGTACCTTTTCTTATTACATCCATGCCAAAAGCCGGTTAACTATCTGTATTCTTTGCGAGCTGTGCTGTATGCTTTGCTAATCACCCTGTTTTTAATATTTTGTACACGAGTGTAATTTGTCGACTCTATGCCTTGATGGACGTGTCTAGGGTTGCAAAGAACAAACGTTCGTTGATTTATTTACCAATGTGCCTACTTCTCCCAAATCAACATCAACTCTTCGCATGCACAGCTGAGCGAGCCGCAAAAATCTCCACGTGCAAGCGATAGCTGAAAGGAAAGCAACTGAGTCCACTTAGACTCACAACAACTCCGTAACACACATAGATCTTGTTTGACCAGGTCAATCCGATATCCAGGTTTAGAAACGTCCAGGTAATTCCCGCCGCCTTGCCTTGCTCCTGTGTGCTTACCAGTTTATATTATTCGGCCAACAATGCCGTAGCACTGAAAATTCATACGCAGCTACATTGCTACATTAATCCTAACTTTCTCTCTTCTCTCTCCTTTGAGCAAAACTGCACCAAGTATAGATAGCTTGCCCACTATTTCTCTAGAACATTACGTATAACTATTTGCTATTTGTCTGCTTTTGGTTGATGGCTCCAATTGTCATATCTCCTTCCACGTTTCTTCCCATTTCATGAACCTGCCGCCTCCATGATATCCTGGTCTGCACCGGAAAAACTGGGGTTGTTCGTGTTCTGACAAGAAAACGATAGTGAAAACCCAGAACAGATTTCCCAAACGTTACTATTGCAACCCTGTTAAACCACCAAAAATTGACCACCCTACAAGCGTGAGCATGATACACATCAATACGATACGTTCCTTTGTGGGCACGGTTACTCGATAAAACGAGAAATATACCCTATTATAGGTAGTATTAGAATTCCGCCGATAGAGAGCAGTGTCACTGCATCCACGAAGTGCATTCTTCCAACAATATCATCGATAATTCATTGCCATTGCAAAGAAAAGTTGTGGTACAAGCAGCGCAAACGACTTCAATTTAACAAGAAAATAACAGGAATTCTGCAACAAGTTGCGGATCCAAAATGTGTTCATGGTGACGGGGCAAAGTTTTGCTTATCCAGATATTGCAAATGGAAATGCGAACTTTGCTTTTACGTGTAAAATGGATTGACCAAAGCAATAGAACCCGGTTAGGTAGGGTAAAATGTGGCCACTTTTCCGGCTCAAGATCGCTTTCGAGACTATGCGGGATGGCTCAAAGCCATCTATCAGAAGACAAAAGCTGTTCGGCCCCACAGCTGTAAAAACAACTCCTTAATTCTGCCAGTAGACGCAGTGATGTTTTACTGAAAATACATATTGCCACACACAGGTGAACCAATCCCTATTAACAAAATGGCTAGCTTTAATTATCGCAGCACTCACAACCTCCGGAGTTAATAATGATCTC